AAGGCAGTTGGCACGATGGTTTCCTACTTAGCCTAAAATGCTAGTAGGGCGCTGTATAGTGGGGAAATGGCGAAAGAACGGAGTGAAACGGTCAAAATCCTGCGAAGAAAAAGCCTCCGTTCTCAGTGACTTGAAAATCGATTTCGGACGAGTTTCCCGTAGGCATCTTGCCAATCACCGCTACCGAAGATACGGCTGCATATGTGTACCCATATATGCATGCAGCATCACGGCCGCTTCATAATTTGCTTAGCAAATGAATGAACGAGCGTCAGGAACGGTCGTCCATTTGTGGGCGGGCGGGCGTGGCGGGCGTTTGGGAAGGGCACCTTCCTCGGGGAAACCGCTATGCAGCGCCTGCCCAGGGTCGCGGAATTCTATCCTGCCAGGAGTATTGATCCTAGTCGTCTTGGGGGATTTATCGTGCCAACTGCCTTTAAGCAGCGTTCATACTTCGCGACAGCAGTGGCGATCGCCGCGATCGTCGGTACGCGTCAGAGCGCGCCCCAACGCTATTACTTGGACCGCTCGCTTTGATAAATAAGGAAATCCAACTTGTAGTACCTTTTCCTCTTGATTATGGGCTCTAGCTGTAAACTGAGGACTTTTCCCACCTAAGAGAATCTGATATGCAAGGGAGGGAATGGTTTAACCTTTTCTTTAGGCCGCGTTCATACCGTGCTTTTGCGTAAGTTGCGTAAGTTGCGTAAGCTGCGACTAGTTCGTGAAGAATACATACGTATCGATCCGACGAAAGCTGCGTAAGTTGCGTAAGTTGCGTAAGTTGCGTAAGCTGCGTAAGTTGCGACTAGTTTGTGAAGAACACATACGTATCGATCCAAAGAAAGCTGCGTAAGTTGCGTAAGTTGCGTAAGCTGCGTAAGAGAAGCTGCAATGAGTCGCGTATGTTGCGTAGGTTGCGTAAGCTGCGTAAGTTGCGTAAGCTGCGTAAGTTGCGTAAGCTGCGTAAGTTGCGTAACCGACGACAACTTCGAGAAGAATAGATACGTATCGATCCGACGAAACCGACGGAAGTGGCTGTAGGGCCATTTTTTGCATTTTGAGAATACTTCTCCCCTTTTCATTTTTTTTTCTTTCCTTTTCCTATTTCCTTTAATCATCTCAATTTATCTTCAATGCATTCTATCCTTGCTGCTTTTTCGAGAAAAAATGGCTCTGACGTGGCTTATAACGCGCCATGCCCATTTTATAGCATACAGCCGGCTTTCGCCGGCTATGCCGGACGCTTTCTTCTGAGTAAGAATGATTTTGCTGTGAGCGGGCCCTGGCTTCCGTTGCACTTCTCCATTCTCCTCACCCGGCTTTTGCTTTATACAGCTGATCGTCAATATCTTTGCCCAATTTGTCATAACGAGTTGCACTACATGATTCTTTATATAGATGATCATGTAGAACAATCACACATTGCCTCAAAGTGATACCAAAATATGGATTTTATTCGCGACTCTGCTTGCGGTTGATCCTTCCTCTATTCACCTTATCGCTTTGATTGGCGCTTTTATTATCACACTCGTGATGAGTTTCTACTAAACGCACTCTATGCTTCCCCTCCCGTACTCTCCCTCACTAATCCACCACCCACATTATACCCTCCCCACTCCCACTTGCCCCACCCACTCCCCATCCCGGCCGCTGCACGTGCTCACGTCCACTGCCACGCGAGCAGCTCGTGCAATGGTTTGGAGTGCACTACATGGTTCTCTTATATAGTGCAGGGTGTTATCACAATCAAAACATTGGATTGATACATCTGCACCAACTGGTTTCGCCACCGGCTAGCGGTCGTATACTCTCCTACACTGACGTGTTTGAACCCGTGAAGCATTTTGCGGACGGACAGACATACATACATACATACCGACAAACCGACACACAGAGTTAGTGGTTTATAGAATGTAAGGATTTACTTCATATTATCATCCACCTCTCACCTACACTCCCTGTTGTCGGTCTGATTATCAGTCATTCGCAATTCATTTTATATCGTATTTTTTTCGCAAACCATTTGATTTGTTTCAGGTCCAGCGGCAAACTCGCATTGAGCGCACTATTCAAAAAGGACGCATATACTCAGGTAAGCTTTAAATTTTTCTGACATCACGTTCATTTTAATAGGAAACTGCCGCCTAAACCTCCACTTGAGCGGAACCTCCATTGGAAAAACTGGGGGCATCAGTTTTTTGCACAGCGCGACTTCTTGCCATTGCGTACAACACCGCGCTACAGCATGCTCACGTCTAGTTTTATTCACTCTGGAGCAGTCCCCGTGAGTTTACCCGTGGCCACATTTGCATGGCTACAGTCGCATCGCGCGCTACTATCAGTAGACAATAACGATTATTCAGTAGGGCGCAAGTGGCTCACAAAAGAATTTAGGCGTGAGGTTGAGTGCATTGCGATAGTCGACTACGGACTCACACCATATTCGACGCGCGTTACCAAAAAAGCGGTCGTAGCCGATTTGTGACGTCATGCCTTGCGCTGCTGTAACAAAAGCGTGAACTATTTTAGGGTACAATGCACCATCAGCAAGAAATCATAAAATGGCACTATTCAACTAATACTGCCCGAGAAAGTCAAAAAATTTTTTTTGTTAAAACTTCGCCTACAGAGGTAGTTCGGTATCCTGATCATGAAAATAGCACTCGTTTTCGGCGATCAGTTTGACGCCGCCACCTTTCCCACAAAATCCAATGTAAATTTGCATAGTAGGGTTATTGGATGTTCTGATAACGAATGCCTAAGTTTTCAGCCATGACGCCATTGAGCGCCATTAAGCGCTGATCTGGCGCCATACTCTTTTTTATCAAAGTTGATAAAATTTTTATCAAAGTTGATAAAAACCTGTATAGTGGGTTGACCACGAATAACCGAAAAGACCATGGCCCTGATCACGAATATGACATTTATTTTTCTGGGTCTGTCTGAAAGGAAGAGTGATTTCCTTTAAGTCAGGCCAGCATTAGCAAAGCGTAGATAATCGCAGCGTCTTCCATCAGCGCCAGCGCCAATAATGAATTGATATTTGTTATCAAGATGTCAAGTAACCTTCGTGCACAAGTTTTCAGCGGATTTAGTGACCTAGGGCATTTCGGCGCCGGCGCCAGGCGGCTTCAGACCAAGTTGATGTGTGTTCGTGTTCAGCGAGTCGAATTACCTCTCAGACCCAACTTTCAGCCAAATCTACCCCGTAGGGAAAAGTCGATCAAGATCGGGCTTGTTTTCGGAAAATTGGGGGGTTTTTTCAGGTAAAGCGCGTCGAATGTGTGTGCCAGTAGGCGCTATTGAGAAGTAGCTAATGACTATAAAATGTAATCCCGCATAACTGCACGTTGGCTGTTAGACCCAATGCTAACATTTCGTTCTCTAGCATAATCACAAACCAGAAAGTTTTCTGCAGGGAAGTGAGATCGTTATTCTGCGGACACACTATTCATCTGGTATCAATCAGTGATTCTTCCATTTCTCTTCTGGGCGCTGATTATCGAAGGTCATCGAAGAAGGATAGCATGGATAAGGTGTGTTCTACATGTACCACGTCAAATGTTTGAAGTGATAACTTTTGTAGTGTAAAAGACGTCAGTCAAAAAAGATTTTATTAGTATGTTCAAAAGTTCCAAAAATTGAAAGATGCCAAAAGAGATGCAAAAGATTCAAAAATCAAAATATACCAAAAGTTAACTCAAAAGGTGTAAACTGCAAAAGACTCAAAAACTGTAGAGGTCTTGAACATTCCCGAAAATGTAGATGATTGACATCTACACGGCCTTGAAATGCACATTTTCAGTTTCTTATGTACTGTTGTACATCGTGCATGTCAAAATGAAAATCTCATTGAATCCAAAGTACGTTCACTGCATCAGTGACTCCGTTGAGAAAGTTGCACCAGAGTTCCATCACCAGAGTTCCATCAACTTGATGGAAAGTAGCAAAGGTGCAAATTTCCCCCTCCCCTCCGCGGACGAAGTGAGCCGAGTGATGGCACATGTTTTACATAGGATTTTTTACTATTTACTCAATTTCCAACTGTTTAGAGTGCCACCTTGCTCGATTCCTTCCGAACTCAACTAATCGAGTTAATAGAGATGGAACCCAGTATATGGCATCATAAATCCGACGAATACCACTTGCAGAAGGGATACCGCATGGACACGTGTGCTGCACGCAATGAAAAGCGCAGGGCATGACTGTACGAGTATGTTCTTTCTAGTACCTTTCGACTTTTGAGATACTAACGAATTACTCAAGTTGTTTAGTGGGAGAGGTTCGTTCTGTATGGAGAAATTTGAGGGATACCCGTAAAAGAAAAAGAAAATACCACACAGGATCACCTGGAGAAAATCCCTGGAAGTATGACTCAATGATGGCATTTCTAGATGAAACGGAGTTTGATGGGTGGGTGCTGATATAACTATCAGTAGCGATAGATTTTGAGGTCCTTTGCAGAACGACGACATCCAATTTGGATGACAATGGAAACTTTCTAACTATGAATGAAAATGACGACACGCCTCAAACAATGGAACCAGAAGAAAGACCACGTCGAAAGAAAGAGAAAAAAAAGACGGTGAGGTATCACAGGTACTGTAATCAAAACAGGGGTCTGAAACCGTGGTTTCAGCTGCCTTAAAAGCTAATCAAAGAAGCCAACTGACGCTGTGAAATCGTCCATTAAAATCGCGGATAGTGGTACTGCACCAGAAGGAGAAGAAGAACAAAAGGATGCGGCTCAAAGAGCCCTCCGCGTTCAAGCTCATGGTATCCATGATGGAGACAGCTATTCGCATTTCGGTTAATTGCTCTTCAATTAATCTAGTTGGATCATATTATAAGATCTCGATTTCCAGGAGCTGTAGTTGCGCATGAGCTGCAGAAGCTGGATTCACCCACCGCTAGACACAAAATGTACATGATTTCTAGCGTCCTACTAATGAACGCGTCAGTGGTAATCAATTTGGATGACATGCACACCACCGGTTAGTGGCTTCTGGAACGTTCTTAAGGTTCAATGAGATCATGGTGAGAAATACCGATGCAGGGGGTATCTTTGGTCATTAATAAGCCCTTGATATATCCCTGTCCCGTCGTAGCTGCTTCTGCCCATGCCCTCCCATCGCATCATTTGGTGCGTGAGCTGGTGTTCGGGAGCCGGAAACCTGGCTACCCCTTCTAGCGCATTCTGTCTTCTTGCCAAGACATTGTGCAACACCTTAAGAGTTGTATCCAAGGGAGAAATGACTTGAATTTGTAGTGTGATCCGCTCACCAGCAACGACGTCACTACTTTCTGGGCATTCTTGGGCTCCATCTGGATTGTATTTTGGAGGATGGCGAATCTTCGGCACAAAATACCGAACGTGGACTCGACCATCCTTCGGGCCCTAATTTCAAGGAATTTTAGATCTTTTTAGGTAACATAAACAAGTTGTTCTCACCCGCTATGCTTTGGCATTGAACCTTCTTTTACTCGGCGTATCTGCTGTTGTCTGGTTATATGGCCGCACATAACGGTGCCCTTGTGCGAACCCACAGTCCACTAAAATGTGGTACTGCACAGGGCCCACATTTGCCAGCTGTCGCGTAGGAGGGAAAACATCATCGTTTCTTTCAAAGAACCGCTAAACTGTAAATATTAACGGAAGTTAGGCACCCCTCACATTCAACCCACCTTTGATGTTTGAGTTGTTGAAAACTCCAGCATCTCCCACTCGCCCTGGCGCCCCCACGTCGAAGGCTAGAATTCGGTAGTCGCAATCTACCAGGGCGAGTAAGATGATGGAGAAATTTTTTTTATAATTGAAATATGTGCTGCCGGAGTGAGCCGGCTTCTGCAATGCTTTCATTAAATCTCAATATCTTCACGGCATCCATACTATTGTTTCCTACCTTTATATTAATGTGTTTGCCGTCCATAAACCCTACTGCGCGTGGGTAGTCATAGCGCTCTTGGGTTTTTCTGGCCACTTCCTCGAGATCGTCCCTTGTGAATCGTGGGAAGGCTTCCGCGAAGAAAACTGGTAGATGGTTGATTTAGAGCAGCGTAATCCAGTTTTACTTTGTCAAATTTCTCACCCTTCCCTATTGCATCCACCACTTCGTAGACAATCTGACTGATTGTCGACTTTCCACAGTGTGCTTCCTCAGCAAGGAGAACCGAACCCGTATCCGTGGCCAACAAATCTTAAAATTTAGATGTCACTTCTCAGGTAAACGGATGGAATGTAGAACCTGAGCATTACCTCAAAAAAATGAATAGTCGCTGACGACCGCTAATGGGTGAAGCGTGTGAAGCCGGGTGAAGCAGGGAACCGGCGAGGCGCTCGTAGAGGTTTCCAAACTCTAACGGCGTCAGCCTCGTGTAGTGCGCGAAGTTTCGAGCATCGCACACCGCGAGGTATTCGTCGAATGTACGTAACCTCGCGTCAAGGAATGGGACGTGCTCCAAGCGCACATACTTCCTTTCCGGTTCGTCTGCTTCTTGGATGTCCTCATATGCACGCTCCAATGCGGCCAAAGAGTTGAGCACAGCAGAAACATTGTTCTGAGCCATATCTTCAAATATAGTTTGGGATTCTTCAGTTTCTAATT